TTTGTGGGGTCAGTTCCGGGGCTTGAAAGAAACACTAAGCTTCAGCTGCTGATTGTGCTGTTTCTGTTAGTATTTGGAAGGTTTCTCCTTGGTCCCTGCTGGTCACAGCATAAGCCTTGACTCAGTCTCCTTCTCTGGCCCACACAACTGTACACAGAGGATTCCTGGCCTTTCAGAGTGGTCAGCCCATGGGAGCATGGGGCTGTTCACAGCACACCCCATCAGGTTCACAGAGCAGCCTCAGCAGTCATCAAAATCTTATGCTTTGTTCAAATTCAGGAGTATTTTTAGAATTATCTGCTTGGGGTGAGCCTTGTGGCATAACAGGTAAAGCCACTGCGTGCAACATTGGCCTCTTGTATGGGCACCAGTTTGTATCCCAGACACTTCTCTCTCTCTCTCTCTCTACCTCTCTACCTCTCTCTGTAGCTCTGTCATTCAAATAAATAAATAAATCTTAAAAAAAGAAAAAAGAAAAATTCTATAGATATTCGTTAGGTCGATTTGGTCTATAGTATCAATTAACTATTGTTTCCTTGCTGCTTTTCTGTCTGGTTGATCGGTCTATTGCTGAAAAAGGGTATTTTTTTAAAAAGATTTATTTGTTTATTTGAAAAGCAGAGTTAAAAAGACACAGAGGCAGAGAGAGAGAGAGAGAGAGAGAGAGAGAGAGAGAGAGAGAGAGAAAGTCTTCCATCCTCTGGTTCATTCCCCAGTCCCCAAGTGGCTTCAACTACTGGGGCTGGGCTGATCCAAAGCCAGGAGCCAGGAGCTTCTTATGGGTATCCCATGTGGGTGCAAGGACCCAAGGACTTGGGCCATCCTCCACTGCTTTCCCAGGCCATAGCAGAGAGCTGGATTGGAAGTGGAGCAGCCAGGACTCGAACTGGCACCCATATAGGATGCCAGCACTTCAGGCGGCGGCTTTACCAACTATGCCACAGTGCCGGCCCCCAGTCTGTGTCTTTTAACTGGAAAGTTGAGGCCATTTACGTTCAAGGTGACTATTGATAAGTAACAACTTGGCCCTGCTGTTTTTCCATAAATATTCCTGTTGTTTACCTTGGATTTCCTTTGTACTTTTACCAGGAGATTTTCTGCCTTCACCTTCTTTCATGGTGATGACCATGTTTCTGTGTTTCTGTGTGCATCACATCTTTATGCATCTTTTGTAAGGCTGGGTGAGTGGTGACAAATTCTTTCAATTTCTGTTTATTATGGGAGGTCTTTATTTCACCTTCATTCATAAATGAGAGCTTTGCAGGATACAGTGTTCTGGGTTAACAGTTATTTTCTCTTAACACTTGGAATATAGCTCACCATTCTCTTCTAGCCTGTAGGGTTTCTGATGAGAAATCAGCTGTGTGTCTAATTGGAGATCCTCTGAAAGTAATCTGGCGTTTCTCTTGTGCACATTTTAGAATCTTTTCTTTATGTTTGACTGTGAAGAGTCTCACTTCAGTGCTTCGTGGTGATGATCTTTCCTGGTCATATGTCTTAGGAATTCTATGTGCTTCCTGTACTCGGACATCCCTTTCTTTCTCCAAATTAGGGAAGTTTTCTATAATTATTTCATTAAAAAGGTCTTCTAATCCATTCTATCTTTCCATGCCTTCAAGAATTCCTAAGACCTGTATGTTGGGTCATTTGGTAATATCCCATAAATCTCTGACACTGGTTTTTAGTTTCCAAATTTCCCTTCCTTCCTTCCTTCCTTCCTTCCTTCCTTCCTTCCTTCCTTCCTCTCCTCCTCCTCCTCCTCCTCCTCCTTCTCCTTCTCCTACTTCTGCTGGACTATGAAATTTCAAGAGATTTGTCTTCTAACTCAGATATTCTTTCTTCTGCCTCACCAAGTCTGTTAAGGCTTTCCATCACATTTTTAATTTCATCTATTGAATTCTTCATTTCCAAAATTTCACTTTGATTTGTTTTTAAAATCTCAATCCTATGGGAAAATTTATCATTCATTTCATGTGTGGGTTTCTTTAATTCATGAATTTGATTCTGATTACTTCTTTTTTTTATCTTTTATTTAATGAATATAAATTTCCAAAGTACGACTCATGGGTTACAATGGCTTCCCCCCCATACCGTCCCTCCCACCCACAACCTTCCCCTTTCCCACTCCCTCTCCCCTTCCATTCACATCAAGATTCATTTTCGATTATCTTAATATACAGAAGATCTGATTGCTTCTAAGTCATCCTATGATCAATCTTTTGAATTCTGTTTCTGGCATTTCTTCCATCTCTTCATTTTCAAATTCTGGTATTGAAGTGTTGTTGTGTTCCTTTGGGGGTGTCATGTTGTCTTCCTTATTGTTGTTTCTTGATTTTCTGCATTTATTTTTAGGCATGTGTGGAGATACTTATTGGTTTTTTTCCTCCTGTGGTGGCTTATATCTTTGGACTATGCCTCTCTGGATTAGTGGAGTATGTGTTGGATGTGGCCAGAGATCTCTGTTAAGTGCTCCAGAATGAGGGGAGTGTCCAAGGTGAACCCAAATAGGGTGTGATAAATCTCTTTCTTTTATTAGAGGGAAGGTTTAATCTACTCTGTTGGTGTAGTCTCATGCTCACCTCCTCTCCTCCAAGGAGACCAAGGCCTGGGGGCTAGGCCCCGTGCATACAGTATTCATCCGTGCTGCCACAAGAACCATACAAAGGATCTGTGCAGTCCTCGGTGTGAAGATGGATCCCACAGCAATGACCCTCACCAGGGAAACCAAGGAGCCCCAAGCATGTAGAACTGCCCACAGTGACTGCCCAAGGACCCAGCCACAACCTGTTCCCTCACATACAGCCACAGTGTTTTCACAGTCCTGGCATACAAGGCTCCTACCGTCAGGAGCACCTGTCAATTCTCCCAGACGGACAGACTCAAGCATCTCCTCTTGTCTGGTTGCTGAGAGCATGGACACAAGTTGTTGTAGCTGTTACATATGTCCAAAATGGCACCCGCCACCTCTCAGCTAATTACAAGATGCCAGTGCCAGTGCCAGGTGGTTGGGGAGAGAGAAATGTGCCCCCATCTTTTCCCCTCCAGGTTGGCAGGTACACTGTCACCCACAGAGCTCCAAGCTTGACTCATACCAGGCTCTTCCAGCAGTTTTATCTCCTGTACCTTGGGCTGCTGCAGTCTGGTCTCACCTCACTCTCAGCTGCTGGGGTCCTGAGTTGTGTGAGTCCACACCCTCCATAGAGATCCATTGTCCTTCTAATTTGCATGGAGTTGCCTCTGCTGTTTTATCCCTACTCTACCCTGAGATTGCTCTCTCTCATTTTTTTTTTAATTGTCTTCCCCAAGACTAGAGCAGTAAGCTCCCTCCCTGTTATGCCATCTTGCCTCTCCTCCCCAGGTATCTTTCACTGTTTTCCCTGGCCATTAGCAGTGGGCTGGATTGGAAGTGGAGCAGCCAGGACATGAACCATAGCCTATATGGGATGCCAGTGTAGTAGGCAGCTGCTTAACCAGCTATGCCACAATGCCCACCTCATTTTTAATTAGATCATATGACTGCCAAGGATGGTGTCTGGAAAGATTAAAAAATTTTTAATTTGGGAAAGAGAATATATAATCAAAGCTTAGCAAGATAAAGAATCTTTTTCACACCAAGAAAGAAACTTATGGTTAGCCATCAGGATGGACACCCACCTAGACCATGATTAGATGCCTTTGATAACCTCAGTGAGATTTCAGCCTTATTTTTGGTCAGTTCTGTAAACATCTGAATTGTTCCTGCCATTACTCTGTTCCTCTGTAACCCACCTATTCCTTCCTTTCAACTTTTTCCCAACACAGCCATCACAGTCACAAACAGCATCCTTATTAGAGAAAATGCACACTATCATTTCATTCCAGTTTTCTATGAACTTTCTGAGGCCCCCTCCCCTGTGTAACCCTTACATATTAATACTTAACACCTGGCATTACACAATTTAGAACCTTCATGCTATTACTTTGCTTAGAATGGTAATGCTTTAGATTGGCTTCCAGTGTTCATTATCCTGGGATTAGTCTCCGCCAAGCCCATATGTCTCTCTGATTCTCCAAGAAGTCTGTCTCTGGGATTCAGCTATGTTCCTACTCCTAGATTACGCTCTAATTCTTGAGGTTTTCTATGCCTGTCTCCTTGTCCATAATGTGAGAGTAATGAGAGTACCTACCCTGTAGGGCTGCTGTGAGGACAGAGTACATTAGTGTGCATACTGCTTTAAAAAAAATGTCCCATTGTAAGCACTCAATTATCATCTACTATTAGCTTATCAAGCTAAATGTCTTGCTCACTAGGGCAAGAGGTCTCATTCGCTGTTTTCCAGGGTTGCTCCCTGTTCCATGGTACTTGGTAAAGTGAGTAAAAGAGAGCTGGCAATAAAAGTTGGCTCTCTCAGTTTCAGCATGGGTGACCTCAGTTAATTTTAAACATGAGGGGATGATTGACAGGAAAAACTACATACTTTCCTCTCAGTTAAGGTCTAGTGGGTTTGACACAGTTATTTGCATGGAAGAACAATAATAGCACGATTACATATATTTTTCAAAAAGAAAAGTAGGTCTTTCTTCCTCCCAGCGTCTCATGAGAATTGCACTGTGGCAGGGAGGCCACACGTGGAACCACCATGTTCTTTTTAACAAAAATGGATGCAAGATTTATTAGAAATTTTGAAATAGAGATGAAGCTAAGCAGAGAAGATTGAATTAGGAGCGATTAAGAGAAGTTTCATTTTAAAGTGGTAGTTGAGGTGAAAATAAGGCATTTGTCCAGAAAAACCTTCATGGAAATTAAGAATATGAAAGTCAAGTATGGTGAGCAAAATTAAGATAAGAAAACAGGTATGGAAATCTTGGGTGACCTAAAGCTGATCTCTAAACCATGGCAATAAATGTCTCCCTGGGGAGAGAAGATAGAAACAGAACTCAAGATTCAATCTTCCCACTTCCGTGCAGGATGTTTCTAAACTCACTGTGTTTTTGAGATTGCCCTTTGACTTCTTTTTCAGGTTCGAGACAGTGGGGACTGTATGCTGGGCTGTTCCTAGGGGGCATCGTTGTTGCCATCATGGTGCTTGAGGTGGTCATCCTACTGTCCAGAAGAAGAGGTAGGTTCCTAACTGTAAAGAAATTCATGTCAGACTGTGCTAAGCAGGGGGCTCTCTCCCCACAAGCATAGATTGCTGTCAACCACTTTGGGTCTCTGCCTGGGGCCACCTTTGAAAAATATAGAATAAAAGTACTGGGACCTGGCTTAATTCAGTCTAATTCAACTCATATTGAGCCTCTCTACTAGGCCATGGGGTAAGTTAGTGAGAAGAGCCATGGTGTCTGATGTCAAAGACATTATGCAAATAGTTTCAGTACTGCAGTAGAGGCATGTAACTGAAGCGGTGCAGACAAGGGTCTTAACACAGTATTCACTAGGGAGCCAAATTCAGAAAATTCATTGATTTCCTTAAACAAGAAGTCATCCAAGGTAGTTCAAAACCATTAAGGAATGATTATTTCCTTGCATTTCAAGTGCCTACAGGTAGTGCCTCCTGCCTTGTCCCCCAAATTGTCCTCTGATTCTATATCTCAGGGAAAAAGCTCCCTTTGACCACACTGATTATTATCAACCCACACTGGAATCAGAACGTCCTGCCCCAAACCAGGGCAGGAACCCTGACTGGTCTTCCTGTGGTAAAGATGGAACTTGATCCTTACTGATAGCTGATCTCATTCTCAAGTAGAACAGTGTTGTCCACACACAACCTTTTTAGAAAAGCCCTTATCTCAGCACTCTGGCGTTGGTTTTGCTTATATAAGAAAATCTAGATCATAGCACAACTACCTACTTTTGTCTCATTTCCTTCATTAACAGCTGGGGAGGAGCTAGAGGGTGGGGGTGTGATTCAGAGAGAAATTATGTTGACAGCCTAAGGAGATGGGGGTGGGGCAACCACATTTGGTTTGCATGATAAAGAAACAGTCATCATTTAGTCCTTGTATACCAGTAACACAAAAAACTTTGCCTCAAACCTTGGCAAAATTTGTATTAAGGTGTTAGACCTGCCACAAAACTTTACTCAAGAGATTCTTTCTTTTTTTTAAGGGCACAGTTAGAGAGAGAGAGAGAGAGAGAGAGAGAGAATCTTCTATCCATTGGTTCACTCCCCAAATAACTGCAATGACCTAGTTGGGCCAGGCCAAAGCCAGGAGCTTATTCTGGGCTTCCCACCTGAATGCAGGGGCCCAAGGCCCATTTCCACTGCTTTCCCAGGCACTTTAGCAGGGAATTGGATTGGAAGTGGAGCAGCCAGGACTCAAATTGGTGTCCATAAGGGATGCTGGGGTCAAGACTTTAACCTGCTGAGCTGTAGCATAGGCCCCACTCAAGAGATTCTGTTGGCAGCTTCTAATAGTATCAGCTCTTACATAATGTGGTCTGACTCTGAAGATTTTCATCTGGACTCTGGCAAGTTCATGTCCAGAAGAATACTGGTTAAGGACATAGGATTTGGCATTAGACAAACTACATGCAAACGTAGGCTTTGCCACTGATTAGCTGTGTGACCAAATGACTAAACCACTCACCTGCAAAATGGAGATAATCTCATACCTTTAGTACTGTTGTAGGGATTGGTTAAGTCAGTATACAGAAAGCACTGCACATAGTGGCTTCTGTGGATGTATGGATCACACACACACACACATCTCCATAATGTAGGTGAGCTACAACATCAGTGTTTAAATCCTATGGCCAGCAGAGGACTGCCCTGGAAGCATCTGGAAACAGTACCTAGAGCAGGCTTAAAGTACTTGAAGTCACAACTTTATGCTTCATCTGAAAAAGATTTTAAGTGGTCTGCAGCCTCATTGAGATGACTTGATTTGTCCAATGTCAGACAATGGTGGTGACACAGACTAAAATGTGTGTCTGTATATGTGTATATTGAGATGCCCGAATTATAAGGCCAAGACCTTTTCTGTTAGACCCTAAGACCTTGCTCATTTTGAGCTGAGTCAAGTTGGCTCCTGAAAATTTGTTCTTGCACTGGGAAAAAATAATGTGAGATTATATTATCTTGATGCAATGGTTTCTTTGAACTTCAAGGATCAGACTCTTTCTCCATCTGTCTAACCATTTCAGATGCCCCCACTAATACTAAATGTCCTGAGCTCTCCCGCAAGACCAAAAGTCCTTAAGGACCAGAGTTTGTTCTCTACTTATGTGTATCCCTTCCAGTACCTATCACAGTGCTGGGCAGACATGTCTAACTGAAAACACACACAGATTCCAACTTGAAGGGTCTGTTTCTCAGAACTCAGAACTCAGAATTTGCACTCCTTTTGGTACCTCCACCCTCCTTTTTATATGTGTGTGCATGTGTCTACACACATGCATACATGCATTGTTCAGTCAGGATCAACTGGAAGAAAAAAAAAATACAGTTGGAACCACCATGTGTATACTTCCAGCTTCTTAAGCAGATAAATAATTGATGTTAAAATAAATCTGCCAGGGCCGGCGCCGCGGCTCACTAGGCTAATCCTCCTCCTTGCGGTGCCGGCACACCGGGATCTAGTCCCGGTTGGGGCGCCGGATTCTGTCCCGGTTGCCCCTCTTCCAGGCCAGCTCTCTGCTGTGGCCAGGGAGTGCAGTGGAGGATGGCCCAGGTGCTTGGGCCCTGCACCCCATGGGAGACCAGGAGAAGCACCTGGCTCCTGCCATCAGATCAGCGTGATGCGCCGGCCGCGGCGGCCATTGGAGGGTGAACCAACGGAAAAGGAAGACCTTTCTATCTCTCTCTCTCTCACTGTCCACTCTGCCTGTCAAAAAAAAAAAAAAAAAAGGAAAAAAATGAATTAAAATTAATTTCAAATAAAAAATGTAAAATTCAGTTCCTCAGTTTCACTAGCCACGGTTCAAGTGCTCAGTTGCCATATGTGGCATGTGACTACGTTAGTGTAGACGTCGAACATATTCATCATCTCAGAAGGTTCTACTATACAGAGTTGGCCTGTACAGCTAGGTATCAAACTTTTGAAACTGCTTACTTCTGAGAATGAAACTGGATTGGTTAATAGGGGAGGGATCCAGTTTTTTTTTTTACTTTATGCATTCTAAACAATTTTTATTTTATCATCAAAGTAATTATTCTTATAATTTAAAAAGAAAACTTTTTAAACTGGCTAAACATTAAAATGCCACAACTTATTAATTTCCAGAGGCCTAGGCTCTCAGAAAAATTTCCAGATGATGGGCAACTGAATAACATTGTAGTTTTATCTTCCAAATAGTTCCAAGTGGATCATTGCTTCTATATACACATACCATCCCACATATACACCAAGTCACTAAGAAATAAGGAGAAGAGAAAGCTGTGAGTAAAGCAATGCAAAGTGCAAAAGAGATACAAATAGCAAGGCCTTCCCCCAAAGAAAAGCTGTAAGACACAGACAATAATAGAGATTGCAATAATTGAATGACATACCAATGAAAATAACCTCCAACAGATAGAGGTCATTTGTAATGTGCCAGATGCTGTTCTAAACATTTTACAACATCTCCTTTAATTACAGGGGCCCAATGAGGCAGGTATTTCAAGTACTATTTCAAAGATGGGGAAATAGACATAGAGAGATCAAGTAACTAATCCAACATCAAATGTCAAATATGGAGAGTTTGCACAAAGGGCTTTGTTTTCATGGTACTCTTGGGAAAAGTGGGTATGCCATGAGGTGTTAAGAACAAAATGACTGAGCACAAAGTTCATACCGGAGGCCAGAGAGAAGATATTCACTGTCATTTCTCTCTCCCAGGCAAAGCTAACCATTACCAATCAACGATGGAAGAGAAGAGCCTTACTATCTATGCCCAAGTCCAGAAGTCAGGCGTAAGTTCTGTTCTTTCTTTGGGATGAATCTTTTGTGCTTCCTGTGGGATTCCTGGCCAGTCCACCTTGTACGCCTGATATTCATGGTTCTTGTATGGGTTCTAGAGCAGAGGCAACTGGGGAAAAAGTCAAGAACAAGAGAAATGCTAAAGGTCATTAAACTTCAGTGTTGTGAGGGAGTATTTATTATCTGAAAAACACTGGGTAAACATATGTTTCTTCATAGGAACAAAATGAGGAAGCTGCAAACACATGATATATGACTCCACCCAGCCCGGCTTCCTAGGCACCTATAGTTCCATGTTACCAAATGTATTGTGTAGTTGTGTCTGGATCAAGTCTAAGCATTTGCAAAGTGCAAAAGGGACAAGGAAGAGGGCATTGGATCTTGAGAATTAGGACGAGAGCGTGGCTAATTAGATGCAAGATGCTTTGTAAAGTGGAGATGGAAGAAAGCAAACTGATGATGGAGTCGTTGGACCAAGAAGGATGGGGAAACTGGAGACATGATGATATTGAGGAGGCAATGAACTGGAAATAAGAGATGGGAAGGCTAAAAAATTGTAGGTAGATACAGTTTTTCAGACATGGAAGTACTGCTGGGTGAATGTATAGGCCAGAATCTGGCCATTTAGAATATGAGGGGAGGCAAATTCTAGAATAAAGGATGTGAAGATAAAAATAGCTTTGATTAGTATCTTGAAAAATTGCATCAGAAACCAAAAAATGTATTTCCAAGGGCCAGGATATGAATTAGAAAAAAACTCTTATTGATTCTTCCCCCTAGTGGTCTGGAGGGGTTATTATACAATCTTTTGCTCCCTGCTAAGAACCAAACTCCATTTAAACACCCGAGTCCCAAGAGTAGCCCCTCTCAATTCTTGCACTTATGAATTTAGGTAATCAGGTTCATTTTTTTCCTTATTTACACCTTTTGGTGAATTTTCATTTTTATTAATATAAAGTGAACATATTTCATGCATTCCATAAATACAGAACCAAGAAGAAAACCACACTTCCCTCCCCTCTGCAAATCCTCTCTCTCTTTCCTCTCTCTTCCTTTCATCAGTTTTTGCAAAGACATAATGTTAATCCACTCTATATTCACATGCTTAATTTGCCACTGGCCTTAATATTTTCACCATGTGTCTGTCCATCTACTCTATCCCATGCTGTTAGAATCTCCCTGTATTCACCGAAAAGTGTAACGTATGTGCTAAAGATACACAACATGTAAATGTCAGCTCAGTGAGGACCCTAAAGTGCACATCTTTATATCAGTTAAAGCTAGTCTTCCCACCTTGTTTATCTTCAAGGGTTTGGGGGCTATTCTTATCCCTTTATGTTTTCATATGTATTTTAGAATCAGCTTCTAAAGTACCACAAAAAGAAAAATATTTTATCAGGATTTCATTGCACCTACATATCTATTTCAGGAGAAATTACACCTTTCAGAATTGATCCTTCTAATGTAATACAACTCCCATTCAGATCAAGAGGACTGCCAGTAGCTCTAACAGACCTCCTGTGCCACCTCCCAACTATCACTCCTTCACTTCTACCTAAGGATGACTACAATCCTTATTCTACAGATACAGTTTAGTTCCCCTCCCTCTTATTTTTTAACTTTATAAAAATGTATGTTACTGTTTCTCCTCTTGTATTTATCTTCTTTTACTCAAGAGTACCCTCATGAGAGTCATACATGTCTTTGAACTTAGATATAAAGCATTCATTTTCATTACTTTATACATTACCAATCTTTGAATATACTAAGATTTACTCATACAGGTAACTAGTGATTTCCAGTTTGAGGTAATTATGAAAACTGCAGCTATGAAAATTTATACCCATGTCTTTTGGTAGATATATGCACAAATTTTAATATTTTTGTTGAGTAGAGGTAGAACTCATAAGTCCTAGCGTATGCATAGCCTCAAACTGACTAAGTAAGGCAAACTTTTAAGATTTATTTATTTAGGGGCCGGCACTATAGCATAGTGGGTAAAGCTGCTACCTGCAGTGCTGGCATCCCATATAGGTGATGGTTTGAATCCTGGCTGCTCCATTTCTGATCCAGCTCCCTGCTAAGGTGCTTGGGGAAGCAGTGGAAGATGACCCAAGTGCTTGGGCCCCTGCACCCACATGGGAGACCCGGAAGAAGTTCCTGGCTCCTGGCTTCAGATTGGCACAGCTCTGGCCATTGCTGCCATTTAGGGAGTGAACCAGTGGGTGAAAGACTCTCTCTCTCTCTCTCTCTCTCTCTCTCTCTCTCTCTGTAACTCTATTTTTCTGGATGAAGCCAGAAGCCAGAAGCTTTATCCAGCTCTCCCACAAGAATGGTAAGGGCCCAAGCACTTGGGCCATCTGCTTCTGCTTTCCCAAGCACATTAGCAGGGAGCTAGATCAGAAATGGAGCAGCTGGGACTTGAACTGGCAACCATTTGGGCTGCTGGTGCTGCAGACAGCATCTTAACCTGCTATACCACAGTGTCTGCCTGAGGACAAACTTTTTAAAAATGAGTGCACCAACTTACTTTTCTACCAGCTATATATGAGAGTTTTAATTGCTACAAATGCTAACCAAGACTTGATGTTATCAGTTGGATGTGTCTCACTGTGGCTTTATTTTGCATCTCCCTGTTTATCAAGGAAGATCAACAACTTTCTTATGTTCGGTAGTCATTTTTTAAAAATATTCATTTATTTATTTGAAAGAGTTAGAGAGGCAGAGGCAGAGGCAGAGAGAGAGAGATCCTCTATCTGATGGTTCACTCCCAAGATGGCTGCAATGGCCCAAACTGCGCCTATCAGAAACCAGGAACCAGAAGCTAATTCCACATCTCCCATGTGGGTGCAGGGGCCCAAGCACTTGGGCCATCTTCTACTGCTGTCACAGGCCATTGCAGAGAGCTGGATCAGAAGGGGAGCAGCTGGGACTCAAACCGGCACCCATAGGGGGTGCCAGCACTGCAGGCGGTGGCTTTAGCTACTGAGCCAGAGCACTGGCCTGCATTAATCATCTTAAAATACTTTCTTAAAGCGCCAATTAAATCTCTTACCCACTTGCCTTTGAGTTTCATTTCTTTTAAATGGATTTGTATGAGTTTTTTATGTTTTGAATATGAGTCCTTGTCAGTTGCATATCTAGGAAATACCTTCACTCATCTGTGGTTTGCTTTTGCAATGTCTCAGAGATATCAATAAAGAGAAGTTCTTAATTTTAGTGTACAGCAATTTGCTAATCTCTTCCTTTACTATTAGCATTTTTGTGTTCTTGAGAAATCTCTATTCCTAGGTAATGAAAATATTCTATCATCTAAAAAACTATAGGATTTTTAGAGTAGAGTGTGAGAAGAATCAAATGTCGTGTTTTTCCATGTGACTGTCCTATGAATCATTTATTGAAAATAATGTGTTTGCCCTACTGTAGGGTAATTTTTATCACAAATCAAGCTTCCATATGCGTGTGGATCTATTTGATGTTCTCTAGACTATCACATTGATCTGTTTATTTGCTTTACTTGCACAAGTGTCATACTATTTTCATTACAGATTTATTATTAATTTTGATATCTGATAAAATGAGCCTTCACACTTGTTCTTGTCTCCAGGAGTTTTTGGTCATTTTTGTCCTTTGCATTTTCGTATATATTTCAGAATCAGTTTGTTAAGTGGTGCCTTCTCCTTTTGCATCTGTCAGGCATGTTCAGCACTGGATTTAGGACATCACCTAATCCAGGGTGATCTCGTTTTGAAATCCTTACTTTAATTTCATCTTCAAAGACTTAATAAAAGTCTTATTAATAAAATCATATTAATAAAATCATATGCAGAGATTCTGGTTGGACACATCATGTGAAGGCCACAATTCAACCCACCATGGTGTATCTTTCCTCTTAGTCTGGAAATGCTTAGTAGGGTTGATCTGCGAGAATTCACTAGTGAAGCTGAAACTGGGGTTTCTTTGGTGGGGGATTTATTTTTATTTTTATTATTCCATCTTCACTATCAGCAATTAAACAATCTTTCTCTGTTTGTTGAGTGCCTGTTCTAGAAATTACAAAATGCATCCTAGACTTGTCAAAGTTTGTTATTCATTCTCTTTCTTAGATAGCACTTTAGCTCCACTATAACTTCACCTCCTGATTCATGTGCCATTTAGGGAGTATTATTTTAATTTCACATATATTTAAGCACTTGAGATATAATTATTATTGTTTGATATAACAATACCCACTCAAACTTATCCATATCCTTACAGTTTCCTTTGTTAATATCTCTTAATTAACATGTTCTCTTTTCTTACTTGTACTAGCTGCATCATATCCTAACCAACAACACGATAGCATGGAAAGTTATTCAGCAAATGTTTGCTATTTACTAAGAACTCTCCTCGGACTTATGAGGCTTGCTGCCTTTCACATTTAGTTCCAGGGGCCACCATTTACAAAGAACATGTGAAAATAGTGCCCCAGGAGCTGCTTGTAAATGATGTCCTTGGGTGTGTGCAAATCAGTGGCACACTGAAGATACTAACCTTGAAAAATGCACTAAATTGTTACATTTATGTTCCTATGCTCATATAAAAATTCTGAAGGGAATCTCACAATGTGTATAGTACCTATAGGACTCTGAGTGATTATTTTATACCTTTTTCTCATTTCTGAAAAGTTCAATTAAATATTAAAAGGGGGCAGGCCTTTGGTACAGTGGTTAAGTACCACTTGGGATGCCTGTATCCTATGTCTGGGTGCCTGGCTTAATTCTCAGTTCCTCCATTTCCAATCCGGCTCCCTGCTAATGGACCCTGGGAGGGAGTAGGTGGTGGTTCAAGTATCTGGGTCTCTGCCACTCACATGGGAGATGTAGATTGAGTTCTAAGCACCCTGGCTTCAGTCTGGCCCAGCCCTGGCTATTACAGGCTTTCACGGACTGAACCAGCAAATAAAAGAACTCTCTCTCTCTCTCTCTCTGCCTTTCACTAAAAAATAAAAATAATTATTTATTTTAAAATATAAAAAGCAAATGTTAAAAGCATAAATTCTTCCAGTCATGGAGACTAAGTGAAATTATCTTAATGAACTGATTTCATATTCTCCTTATCCATCTCATTGCTGCATAAATTTCTTCCTTAAATTCAAATTTTCTCCAAAAGGTGATATCTAAAAATTATACAGATCTTGAAAGTCATCCATTTGAACCTTCCAATTGCTGCTTGAATCGTCTTCTACAACGTTTCTCCAAAGTGCTGACAAATCCCTTTTTACTAAAATAGAGTCAGAACAAGCAACATCAGCATCACCTGGGATCGCAGAAATGCAGGCTCTGAGGCCCCACCCCAGAGCCAACCTTTCAACAAGATCCCCAGGTAATTTCTGTGCACAATAAAAGCACGAGAAGCACTTCCAATACTGGGAGCTCACTGCCTCTCAAGGAAGTCTAGCTCACACTTGACCGTATTTCCACTATTAGAAAGTTCTTCATTACATTGAATCAAACTATTTCCCACAAATTCCAACCCCTGAGAGATTCTACAGACAAATCTAAATCCATCAAATGCATGAAGAGAGGGATCATGTCCTACCTTGAATCTTCTTTCCTCCAGTAAACTTTTCTAGTTCCTTAACTCTTGGGTTACATAATGCAATTGCTAGCTCTCTCCCATTATAACACAGGAGTTGTGGTTTCAAATCTTGCAGAAAGCAACATTAGCCAATCAACAATGTTCCCCAAATGTGTTTAAATGATGACTTCCTTATCTTACAAGGTTATGATCTTACTCCTGCACTGACTTTGTCCTGGGATTATGGAGTTTAATTCATTCAAATTAACATCAATATGTATCAACTGAAATTTTTTTAAACTGTACCCAGCACTGTTTTCTTATGAGTGCAAATATATCTGTATGTGTATGGTGTTTCTCAAGAAATTTACAGTCTGATTGGAGAAATAGTGAATAAATATATCAAAGTGTGTTAGATAAGCATAGAGTTGCCACAACATGTGAATTAGACTTTTATAGCTGAGGGATTTAAGTAAAGGATGGGTCACTATAAGTTGGCATAACCAAAGAATAGTTCTGGGAGGAACATGCTCTTTCAGTTAAAAGAGCTTGGTGGGACTCTTGGCTTTGATACTTCTTGAATTGCACATTAGGAAAGTAGTTCATCTTTCTGAGCTTTCTCTTCATCATCTGTCAAATGTGAGTAGCAACTATACTGAACGCTAAAAATGGTTGTGGAAAGACATGTGTTAGAGCGGGCAATAGCAGGACCAGCAGCATGGGATGGAATGAGCTCTGCGTGTCAAGGGAGACAATTCTGTTAAAATCCTGTGCATTCAGCTGCTCCTGGAAGAGCCACATCAGTTTTATTCCCTATGAGGAAGATTTTTAAATTACCTGGGAATCATGGACAAGAACTGCCTTGGGAGGCTATGAGCTCCAAGATGTCACTTGGGTTCCTTGGGAAGCTGAGAGAGAATCCACACCTAGGATGGAGGTTGACCCAACTGACTCTAAGGTGCTTTCTAAGGCAAGGCCTCCTGGATCCGTGCTTCTCTGTGGGAGAGTTGTGTGGGAATTAGCATGCTGCTCAGCTAATCTGCTTGCTTTTCTTCTCTTACAGCCTCTTCAGAAGACACCTGAGACCCCAGTAACCCAGGACCCCTGCACCACCATTTATGTGGCTGCTGCAGAGCCTGTGCCAGAGTCTGTCCAGGTGAGGCATCTCTCTGTGCCTCCTCTCTGCAGAGTGTGAATAAGAAGGTGGGGATGAAGGGTCGTTTTGGTAGAGATGAAATGAAGCAAATTAATGAGTCGTGGGCTGGGGAAGGTAGGCCACAGCAAGCAGACAGCAAGGAGTGCCTGTGGCCTTGATTTCAGGCTCTCATAAAAACCCTTGCACCCACTGACATAGGGTGAGCTATGGCTCCCTCCCTTTTGGCTGGTGTTTCTCTGAGAGTCATCCAAGGACCACATCAGAATCAACTGGCACACTTGCTCAAAGTGAAGATGCTTGGGGCCTTCCACCTACAAGCACTCTGTTAAATCCCAATGTCTATGATTACCCAGGGACCTGCTCATTAAAAATCAACATAGCCCAAGTTGTTCTGATATACTCTAGTCTGAGAATGGCTGCTTCAGTCCGAGAATTCCAACTCCAGCTGCAGAACAGAATCATCAGGGGAGCTCTGTAATAACACTCATGCAGAGACTCCATCCAGCCCCATTTAGTCAGGATATGTGGGATGGAACTCTACACATGAGTCCATAGAGTCATGTGCAACTCAGAAGACCCACCTATCCTACCCATGGACTAGGTTTACTTCTGACAGGAATCTTTCCTTTACTAAATGAGCAGAAATCTCGGCTAAAATCTAGATTCCAGCTGGACTCCGTTAAACAATACATTTTATGAGAGAGCCCATGATGCCTATGTCTATGCCTCTTCTTCAAAGCTCTTCCTGCACACACGCCCAGATATGCCTGGGTGGGTATGCTGTTTCAAGATGAAATAGACTTTCATGTTGAGGTCTATTCTCAGTACTGTGAGAGGGAGATAAAAATATAAAAGTATAAATCTGAACTCAAAAGCTTTTATTTAAAAAAGATCATAGATCTTTATTTAATAGCATTTATTTGGGAAGGAAAAAAGCATATTTCACATTGTATACCAAAACCTCCTAAATTTCCCCATTCCCTCTTTGCCCTTTGAGAGATCTTTGCACATGATTTTCTCCTCCCCTCCCTCCTGCTCTCCTGCTGGTACCACTTCCTGCTTTCCTTCTGGGTCTTGCTAGCCCATTTAAAAGCTCAGTAGTTTAGAGCTCTCTTGGTTTCTCCAATTTGTGCTCCATGTCTAACTACTAAAAAAAATTTTTTTTCCTTGCAAGGGAAGGAGAGAGAAGAGGGCAACATGTAGATGTAGATAAGACACTGCATGCTGGTCCTCAGGTCCCTGGGACAGGTCTCCCTGACAGCTTGCTTTTGCTAGAAAAAGGGCTGAGCCCATTAATGTCCACTTGGAGCAGAAGCCAAGGACCTGAGTGGTGCCTCCAGCAATGGACTGATCCTGAACAAGTCACTCTGCTGCTTGATTGCTGGACCCTTCCCTTTTCTAAGCAGTGAAGCTAGTGCTGCATCCCCCCACTCACAGACTGCTTCTGCTTTGTCTGCAGGAACCTAATCCCATCACAGTCTACGCCAGTGTGACACTTCCAGAGAGCTGACACCACAGACACAGTAAAGGGACTTTCTGAAGGAACGTAGAAGAACCAAAATAAACACTGAACTTGGGCCCAGGCCCCAGGTTCCCCATGACAGACGTTCTATAACTTTGTACTCTTCTCGAACCAACCTCCCAGTGGTGTTTCTTCCATGGACAACTATGCACTGGACAAAGAAGTGAGGCTTCTCAAGCATTTAACCCACTCTGCTGTGGGCACGGGCACAGGACAAAGAGCTACCTGATAAGCTTTTCATCTTTGTGGTATAGCAGATGGAATGGACAGTGTGAGTCCAGACTTCTGGGCATCCTACTCTTTGGTAGGACTGGATAACAAAGACCAAAGAGAGTGCCAGGGCATCTACTAGCCATCTCAGACAGCTGATGACCTGCCACAAAGCCTGGAAAAATTTACATCTTCACTGTTTCTGCTTTGTTCTGGAAGCTGGTCGTGAGTACCTGCACACCTGCCCAAGGCTCTGTGCCTCAGTTTCTCTCTCTGGATGAAGGGTGCACGAAGAGTGAAGGAGGAATTCCTTATTATATATAAAACACTCCAAGGTTACTCTACAAAAGAAGCTAAGGAAATCAGTATTTTATTTGCAAAGCCCAGAAGCTAACAAGCCAATAAACTGCACAAATGACTTTGAGGTCTCTGGGCCCTCACCGATGGAACGGAAACCATCTAACAGTCTTCAAAGTACGGGTCTACACAATGGCATTCACTTGTAAAGAAAAGTGGCAGGTGTCTGGTGATGCTGGTACAAAGGAACTTGGTGTGCTCAACTTGCCTCATGGCGATTTTTCACATTCCAAAAAGGATTCTTAAATCCTGCTTTTTTTGTTTACTCTCTTGAGTGACAAACCTGAGGTCTCAGCTAAGACTCTCCACCTTGGTTCTGAACCCACTTCACAACCTGGGCCTCATGCAGGTTAAGCGTCCCTACCAGACACTTCCTACTCCTGGAATACCTCTCTTTGCACTAAATGTACCTTTGAGTAAAAAATTAAATTATTTTGGCCCAATAGCTTCAAATGAGTGGATGCTCAATAACTTAGATTACAGGCTGCAGGCAAGAGTTTCTTTCTGTAAAGTCCTATTTTCTTTATATTCTCTGCTTTCACATAAGCTATCTTTATTTAAGCTCTTCTTTTTCTTGGCTTGTATACCTTTGGTGAATACTTTAAGAAATAACCAACTCCAGTCCCATAGTGTAGCTAAAGGAACCAACTTCCCAGCTCAATTCTCTGAAGTCAATTCACCTGCTGTGTTCTGTTGCTCAGTATTATTGTACCATTCCCTGGTCCAACTTCTGAAATAGGGCTCTTGGTTGCAATCAACAGAAACCGAATTTGCTTTATGTGGAAAAAGAATGCGTTGAAAAGACATTGGGGAGCCAGCGCCGTGTCTCACTTGGCTAATCCTCCACCTGCAACGCCTGCATCCCACATGAGCACCGGGTTCTAGTCCCGGCTGCTACTCTTCCAGTCCAGCTCTCTGCTGTGGCCCAGGGAGGCACCGAAGGATGGCCCAGGTGCTTGGGTGCCTGCACCCACGTGGGAAACCAGGAGGAAACACCTGGCTCCTGGCTTCGGATTAGCGTAATTCCGACCGTAGCGGCCATCTGGGGGGTGAGCCAACGGAAGGAAGACCTTTCTCTCTGTCTCTTTCTCTCACTAACTCTGTCAAATAAAAAAAAAAAAAACACACACACACAATGGTTTGTTTAAATAACTGTAGGAGATTTGGGAAAACCATGGTTTGAAAGTGAGCAGGGTAATGGGAGACCAGGTTGTGGCTAGAACCACAGCCAAAGTTACAAAACCAATGTAGGGAAACAATTTGGGGAACCACAGTGGACCGGCCACTGTCCTCAGCACTAGACATGGATTTGCAGCCTATACTGGACTGGAAACTCGGGGTTACAGCTGTGGCTGCACTGTACATCACCAAAATGTATTCCCGAGGGATCCCTTTTCATCTATGTTTCTAATGCAAATCTGGGATTGAGTGGTCAATCCTGGTCACACGTCCATGTGCTACCTCCAAGGGCAACTGGGAATTGAATATCTGGCATGTTCCATGTTCCTACTGGTTGATGGGCTCTGCCTTTGAGTGAAGGAATTCCCTCAAACAGAAGAAATGGGTTTCAGATGTTGTTTGGGGAAAAAAAATACATCCACTCCACCACCCTTCTATAACCTTAGGTTCTGTAGCCATCTGTTCTCAAGCCATGGAGCTACTGAACCTGAGGTTGTGAGCACTCACTCCACTCACTCATCTACCACTACTCAGATTGCTGGAGACTCGGCTGCTAACACTGGGTTCTTCTTGTCGCTGAGCTCCACCAGATGCAAAGACAAAAACAAAGGGAGAAGGTGGGTTCATCTCTCAGAACTTCCTGAACACCTAGGCTCTGAGCTTTACAGGGGAGGAGGCTGTGTCCTGATGGAGGGAGACTTTCCCTCCAACACTTGACCTTCTGCCCCACGCCCTCCAGGCCACCAGGGTTCCATGTGCAGAAGCAGAGAACCCTTACAGCAATGTGTGCTGCTCTGCAGTCTCCCCACATGGAGCTGTGGGTAAGATGCAGCTTGCCTTCCCCTTAGGCCTGAAGAAACAAAACTGAGACTTTAGAGTCGGGATTCCCCATGTTTCTCCTATGATGTTTCTCTGGACCAAGCACAGCTGAATTCTGGAGAAGCTGGGAGGAACAGACCCAGTCTTGGTTTTCAGAGACTGAAATTCTGAACCACCACTGGACATAGTCCCAGGCTTCTTTAGACATCTCAGATGCACTGACTACAGGGTGCATGTGCTGGCCAAGAGGCCACTGTGAACTCATTCTCCTCCTGGGGCTCACATTTCTCCTTCTTGGAAATGAATGAAATACAGCTGATCCATCAAGGACATCACGCTTTCATTTTGTGTTTGCTGTAGGATTTGTCACATGGCAGGGTGGCCAGTGTGCGTCGTAGCCTTGTTAGGAAACACTGACAGTAGCCACTTGGATTGGATTGACAGTGGACACTGTGAGGTTTTCCCTTTACCTGCGGGCAGGGGATAGTTCACTGCCTCCCATCACCAAAGTGCAGGGAACCACTCTCCAGGCAGAGAAGAGAACTGTGTTTAAGGATTTAGCTTTGCTCACTGCCAGAATAATCCCCTTCTCTGAACTTCCCCCGAATTCCCCTTGTAGAGACATCTAGAGCCAGGCTTCTCAGCTGCAGCACTGTTGACGTTATGAGCTGGAAAAGCTTTTGCTGTGGGGGCGGTCCTACACATTGTAGGATGTTTTGCAGCATCCCTGGCCTTACGCACTAGACACTCCAGTACACCCTCTGCCCTAGAGCATGGCAATCAAAAATGTCTCCAGACTTTGCCAAATGTTCCCTGGTGGGCAAAATCTTTTTTTTTCTAATTCTTTTTTTTATTTAGTAAATATAAATTTTCAAAGTACAGTTAATGGATTATAATGGCTTCCCCCCGCCATGATTTCCCTCCCACTCACATCCCTCCCATCTCCCACTCCCTCTCCCATTCCATTCACATCAAGATTCATTTTCAATTATCTTTATATACCGAAGATCAATTCAGTATATATTAAGTAAAGATTTCATCAGTTTGCACCCACACAGAAACACAAAGTGTAAAATACTGTTATAGCATTACTTCACATTGGACAACACACTAAGGACAGATCCCACAGGAGAAGTAAGTACACAGTGACTCCTGTTGTTGACTTAACAGTTTGACATTCTTGTTTATGGCATCAGTAATCTCCCTAGGCTCTAGTCATGAGTTGCCAAGGCTATGGAAGCCTTTTGAGTTCACCGACTTCGATCTTATTCTGACAGGGTCCTAGTCAAAGTGGAAGTTCTCTCCTCCCTTCAGAGAAAGGTACCTCCTTCTTTGATGGCCCCATTCTTTCCACTGGGATCTCACTCGCAGAGATCTTCCATTTAGGTCTTTTTTTTTTCTTTTCCAGGGTGTCTTGGCTTTCCATGCCTAAAATACTCTCATGGGCTCTGCAGCCAGATCTGATTCTGAGGCCAGAGTGCTATTTAGGACATCTGCCATTCTATGAGTCTACTGTGTATCCCACTTCCCATGATGGATCGTTCTCTCCCTTTTTGATTCTATCAGCTAGTATTAGCAGACACTAGACTTGTTTGTGTGATCCCTTTGACTCTTAGACCTATCAGTGTGATCAACTATGAACTGAAACTGATCACTTGGACTAGTGAGATGGCATTGGTACATGCCACCTTGATGGGATTGTATTGGAATACCCTGGCACGTTTCTAACTCCACCATTTGGGGCAAGTCCGATTGAGCATGTCCCAAATTGTGCATCTCCTCCCTCTTTTATTCCCACTCTTATATTTAACAGGGATCACTTTTCAGTTAAAATTTAAACACCTAAGAATAATTGTGTGTTAATCACAGAGTTCAACCAATAGTACTAGAACAAAACAAAGAGAAAATACTAAAATGGATAAAGTATTACATTGTACATCAACAGTCAGGACAAGAGCTGATCAAGTCACTGTTTCTCATAGTGTCCATTTCACTTCAACAGGTTTTTCCCTTTGGTGCGCAGTTAGTTGTCACTGATCAGGGAGAACATATGATATTTATCCCTTTGGGACTGGCTTAATTCACTCAGCATAATGTTTTCCAGATTCCTCCATCTTGTTGCAAATAACCAGATTTCGTTTTGACTGCTGTATAGTATTCTATAGAGTACATGTCCCATAATTTCTTTATCCAGTCTACTGTTGATGGGCATTTGCGTTGGTTCCAGGTCTTAGCTATTGTGAATTGAGCTGCAATAAACATTAATGTGCAGACAGCTTGTTTGTTTGCCAATTTTCATTTCCTTTGGGTAAATTCCAAGGAGTGGGATGGCTGGGTTGTATGGTAGGGTTATATTTCTGAGGAATCTCCAGACTGACTTCCATAGTGGCTTAACCAGTTTGCATTCCCACCAACAGTGGGTTAGTGTCCCTTTTCCCCCACATCCTCTCCAGCATCTATTGTTGGTAGATTTCTGAATGTGAGCCATTCTAACCGGGGTGAGGTGAAACCTCATTGTGGTTTTGATTTGCATTTCCCTGATGGCTAGTGATCCTGAACATTTTTTATGTGTCTGTTGGCCATTTGGATTTCCTCTTTTGAAAAAGGTCTACTGAGGTCCTTGGCCCATCTCTTAAGTGGGTTGTTTGTTTTGATGTTGTGGAGTTTCTTGATTTCTTTGTAGATTCTGGTTATCAACCCTTTATCGGTTGCATAGTTTGCAAATATTTTTTCCCATTCTGTCGGTTGCCTTTTCACTCTCCTGACTGTTTCTTTTGCAGTACAGAAACTTCTCAATTTGATGCAATCCCAAATGTTAATTTTGGCTTTGACTGCCTGTGCTTCTGGGGTCTTTTCCAAGAAGTCTTTGCCAGTGCCTATATCTTGCAGAGTATCTCCAATGCTCTCTAATAATTTGATGGTGTCAGGTCATAGATTTAGATCTTTAATCCATGTTGAGTGGATTTTTGTGTAAGGTGAAAGGTAGGGGTCTTGCTTCAGGGTTCTGCATGTGGAAATCCAATTTTCCCAGCACCATTTATTGAATAGACTGTCCTTACTCCAGGGATTGGTTTTGGATCCTTGATCAAATATAAGTTGGCTGTAGATGTTTGGATTGATTTCTGGTGTTTCTATTCTGTTCCATTGGTCTATCCATCTGTTTCTGTACCAGTACCATGCTGTTTTGATTACAACTGCCCTGTAGTATGTCCTGAAATCTGGTATTGTGATGCCTCCGGCTTTGTTTTTGTTGTACAAGATTGCTTTAGCTATTCGAGGTCTCCTGTGTCTCCATATGAATTTCAGCATCATTTTTTCCAGATATGAGAAGAAGGTCTTCAGTATTTTGATTGGTATTGCATTGAATCTGTAAATTGTTTTTGGGAGAATGGACATTTTGATGATATTGATTCTTCCAATCCATGAGCATGGAAGATTTTTCCATTTCTTGGTATCCTCTTCTATTTCTTTCTTTAAGGTTTTGTAATTTTCATCGTAGAGATCCTTAACGTCCTTGGTTAAGTTTATTCCAAGGTATTTGATTGTTTTTGTAGCTATTGTGAATGGGATTGATCTTAGAAGTTCTTCCTCAGCCGTGGCATTGTCTGTGTATACAAAGGCTGTTGATTTTTGTGCATTGATTTTATATCCTGCTACTTTGCCAAACTCTTCTATGAGTTCAAATAGTCTCTTAGTAGAGTTCTTTGGGTCCCCTAAATAAAGAATCATATCATCTGCAAAGAGGGATAGTTTGACTTCTTCCTTCCCAATTCATATCCCTTTAATTTCTTTTTCTTGCCTAATAGCTCTGGCTAAAACTTCCAGAACTATATTGAATAGCAGTGGTGAGAGTGGGCATCCCTGTCTGGTACCAGATCTCAGTGGAAATGTTTCCAACTTTTCCCCATTCAATATGATATTGGCCGTGGGTTTTTCATAGATTGCTTTGATTGTATTGAGGAATGTTCCTTCCATACCCAGTTTGCTTAGAGTTTTCATCATGAAAGGGTGTTGTATTTTATCAAATGCTTTCTCTGCCTCTATTGAGATAATCATATGGTTTTTCTTCTGCAGTCTGTTAATGTGGTGTATCACGTTGATTGTTTTCTGGTGGGCAAAATCTTACCTATTTGAGC